ACTCATTTAATATCTACGGTCCCTTTTTTATGTCTTTAGGTTTAGCTGCTTGGTGTGATAGCACATATAGAAGTGACAGAGATGGGGAAACCCAGGAAGCTGAAGGACACTCGCAGAAGGTGTGAAGGGCAGGGAGTTTGGTGTTGGGGCTAATTTGACCGTGGGCGGCGGTGCTCACACACTGAATGGCAAGGTTACCTCTCCCAGCTCAGAGAGGAGACCCAGATTCAATTAAGGCTGGGCCTGGTCTGCAGATCCTTTTAACTGGAGGCCTTCCCAGTGCACATGTCAGGAAAAACGTCCACAGAAGCATCGGCAGCAAACAAAGGCCAAAGCAGCCACACGGCTGTGTAACGTCTTCAGCTTCACTTAATTTATGGATATTTTAATGTGAGGTAAAGACACCAAAACATTTAAGGGATCCAATGATGCTCATCTTTATATTGCTTTAAAGCATGTTTTAGTTTCTAGTTTCTGCTGTTCGTCTGTTTTTGTCGCTCATTATTCGTCACAAATCTGTTAAATTTCATTTGGATAGAACACAAACTGGTGATAAATCAAAGTATAAATATCAGCATGCGTATATTCAGCTGTTAATCTGCGTAACTTTGTACTGCACGGCAGTTTTGCTTTTCCGTCTTGTTTTTGGAGCAGACCACTTATCAGAGGTTTTGCACATCAATCCCTTTATTGTGTAAAGAATCAGTCTTTGAATAGATTTGGCTTGAAGGGTAGAAGCGATGCACAGTGCCCAGGACACTGAGTGCTGATTGCATATGTGTTTTGGTAAATGGCTTTCTGCTGGTTGATAGGATTTATATATTGTGCATTTAAGTTGTCTAACAAGTCCAAGGTTTTGGTGGCACAGTAGCTGCTCTAGTCTTAGATGGGACCCGCTGAAGGAGGATCAGCTTCTCAGTCTAGGCTCTTCTTTCTGATTGATGGCACCTGCTCATCATAATGCTATCTGCTGGAATCTGCATACCAATGATCCCAGCCGCCTATCGATTCACCCCTCATCTACCCCACACACACCCTGGAGACCAATACACACACACACCCACGCGCACACATTCATCCACTCCATCTCCCTCCCCAACCACTGTCATTATAAAAGTCAGCAGCTGCTGCTGCATGCATTGATCATAAATCATAATTGCTTCTTCATTTTTCCCTACTTGTTTAATGTTGCTGTCAGGGACAGTAGGGGGAGAAAAGGAGGAGGCGGAGAAACGGAGGAAGAAAAGCCCAAAGAAAGTTTACTGAGACGCAGAAAAATGAGATTAGAACAGAGAGCTGAAGGAGAAATGGTCTCCAATCTCTCCGCTGGCATATCGAGTCCTCTGGCCTTTAAAAGAGCAGCAGCCTGACATGTCCGCATTGGCTCAAGAATTTAAGCTGTTTCCACTTCAGAACTCTGCTCACATTAAAAGAACCAAACTCTGATATAGTGCTAAATGGTGTTTTGTCTTCATGAGGGTTTATGTAAGTGACCAAAGGCATTGTGTGCTAATAATATGCATCAGTATTTTAGAGATGCTGTTTTATTTGTTGTTGTTTTTTTAAATATAAGATAAATGGCGCAGGGACTCGGCAGTTCCATTCGTTTCCCCGGCTGAGCTGAGTTTCCACCTCGGACATGTCCTAGATCCCCTCCTCTTAATCCTGGAGTGAAGTTTAGCTTTGGTTGAATGTTTTGCAGCATCCATTGACGAAAACAAGTTAAATCGTTTTACAGAAATGAACTCAACATCTTTGACCGTCCCCTTCTCTGCAGATAAACGGAGCTACAGACTTTTATTTGTTCCCTTTTTGACTTTGAGTTGTTTTGACAATCCTGTGCTGATATTTTTAGGAGTGGCTGGTACTTTATGACAGACATGAAAGAATAAAATATATCAGATTTTTCTTCTTTCCCCACTTCTGAGCACTTTTGGAATAGTTACACTATTTTTGATCTTTTTAAAAGTATGACTACATGCTGCATCTCTGTATTTCCTTAATTCACTCCTCCTCTCATCAATCTTGCTTCACATCATTTGTGTGTTAGAAATGATAGATTGGTGTGACTGAAATTCACCAAAATTGCAAGTGTACTGATAGATCAATCCCTACCCATGCGGCTCCTAAACGCATTGCTCCACCCCATTAGGGTGATGCACTACACAGTGCTGGAGCTCTCCTGCTGCCATTGTGCAAGCAGCTGCTTTATTGAGCACTCTGCTGACATACAGCCCAGCGTTTCTGCATCGCAAGGGGAAACTTTGGATGACATGTAAAAGCAGAGGTTTGGTGCAACATGCCTTCATAATGGGATGGGAACTTGGGTGCACGAGTGAGGTGGGAGGGGGGCATGCTAGCTGCAGGTATTGTGGGGGGGAAGGAGTGTCTCTTCCTGGCTGCTTCCAAAGCAAATGGAAGACAATCCAATTTCCTGTGATTCCATCAAGCCTCCGTCCTGGATCCGGGAGCATTAGGGAACGCTGAGAGGACAGGCCGCTGACCCCCTCACATGAACATGCAAGAGGCATGTAGGCTGCACACGTGCGCTGGCGTGCTCATCTGTATTGTTAGGTTTGTTGGCCTGTGTTTTATCAGTCGCATATTTTCACTTACGAGCGCACACGCGTCCTTTTATGCTGCCGAACAACAAACTGCAGATTAGCGCTGGAGGCAGATTAGAGCTTAAAGCCGTTACACTTTAATTATAACTGTATTTATGTGTGGCGTGGTCTTTCACTTGGCCCTGGCTGTAAACATCTGCCGCTCTCCCACTGTGCTCAGTCTTTGTCTGTGTTGTGAACTAAAGGGAAAATTGGTTGCAGCATTATCTTATTTACACACAATGCCGAGAAGATTAAAACGTGACCCTCTTGCTGTTAGACGTATGCGCGCATATATAAATGCAGCTATTTTGCTACAGGTCGGCCTGCTCTTCTCCAGACTGTCAGGCTGACACATTTTCTGCAGTACATCACAGGTTGTGATTTGACTCTCAGTCAGACAGCATTGTTGTCTTGGGTTAACCGCTGCACGCTTTCCACGCTGGTGGCGATTTGCATCTGTTCTCTGTGATCCACCCAGAGGGAATAGAAAGCTCTAATCCAATCAGCAGGTCCCTGAAGTGCTGCCCCTGAGAGATGGAGAGAAACACAACAATAGGATCACTCTGCACTGGTTTCAGCAGGAGAAGGCAGACAGGAAAGGGAAGGAAGGGAAATGAGGGATTGTAGAGGAGAAGGGATTAAGTCTGAAGAAGAGACGAGAGGAACGAACGGGGGCGAGGATGATGGGTGAAGTAAGGAAATGAAATGAGGGAGGTGTGGCTTGGTGTGACAGGAGGTAACAAAACAGGAAAGACTAATGAATAATTTTACAATAGTTTGGAACTTTTGTGACTGCAGTGACATGTGAGCTACAAGAGCCTCCTTAGTTTTAATCTTCTTTGAAATGATTCCACTTGGTTCAACTGCTGCTCTTGTTCCAAGGCCACAGTTTATTACCACGGAGGTGCAAATGCAGGCTGGAGCAGTGATTTTAAAAACTGAATCTCCTGGTGATGGTGCCTGTCAGAACTGTCTTTTATATCTACAGACACGCAAGGACGCAGTTTCCCCATCGCTGTCCTCAGTCTAACACTTCATACAAGATATCATATCGCTGCCGCTGACCCTTTGACCACAAGGATCATCTGTTCAAAGAGCGTACACTCAGATCACACAGATGTTGAGGTCACAAACTCGTGTATCAGATATGATGCACTTGATGTTATAGGTTAAACACGGTCACTTACAGATGAGATGGATATAAATTTATTTTTTTAAATGCATGTTTCTGGCTCATCTTTGAAAGATTTATTTGGTTGGGGCTGAGTAACAAAGTAGCCATGAAAGGGTGAAATGCAAAGTCCAGTGTTAATAGACCTTGGCCTGTTAAAATCCATACTATGGATGAAGCTGCTGGGACATCTACACTTTATACCTGCAGGAGCGGCTTTGGTGTGGAAACGTGTCACGGAGCTCCTAGCAAATAGTTTTTGTGCATCTCTTGAGCTCTTTTTGTTTTAAATGTGTGCACTTTGTGTCTGAGCTGCTGTGGTTCCTAAATGCAGTTAGTTGGTTGTGACATTTCGTACCTCCCAGATATTCACAAACTAACTTGAATATAAGGGGAGTGCTACACTTAAATTCAGCGAGCTCTTTAGAATAAACCGAATGTTTAAAGGCTGCACGGTGAGTTGCTTTTGTGTTTAAATACACCTGTGGCAAAATGACAGAACACCTAAACTCCAGTGTTAACGGATCCGGCCTGTCTTGTCCATATAGTTTGATTTGTATGAGCTTTGACTTATTAATTAACACTTCAAACAAGCCACACAATAGTCTGCGAATTATAAAAAATAATTTCCAAATCAGCATCAACGTGAGTGAGAAAGGTTCCCTTTCTTCCACTCAGACTCCGTAAATCCAGTATAGATGCATCGCTTTCGTAATGGTCACATAAACATTACAACTAAGGTTGGAAACCTGCGGTCAGCTGAGACGCCCGCTGAAAACATCCAGATGAACAGATTCAACCTTTCGGTGATGGGTTTGGATTCGGGTTGATGCTGGATGGGCAGCTATGATTGAAGGGGGTGATGGCTCCCCTTTAATCTGAGTTTTAGGCTTCAGGTTAACCAGAGCTGGAAACGACCTGCAAGCTGAAAGTTTAGATTTTTCAGGTCAAATCAATATCTCATCGTCTTAGAATTCCCCTTTGGTCCAGGCAAACATAAACACGGCACCCTTTGTCCACAAAAAATATTTAATTTGTATTCAATCAGGTGCGAGTTTCCCTCTTGAAGTCTGGACAAAGTGACAGCTCACAACTTACTCACAGCAACTGCTGGCAGTATTTCTGTGTTAAGTGGATATTGTTTGAATGTGCACTCAGTGAAGTCTTGTTTTTGCTGTGTCACAGGTCCTTTGAATTAAACACTTGTTTTTGGCTTTTTACAGGACGATGAAGGACAGACGGCGTTGCATTATGGTAAGAAAGCATCGTGAACACTTTCCTCGCTGTAAAGCTTTTTGTGCCTATTTTTCAATTTGGCTCATCTCATTCCACATTTATTCTGCACAGACATCCTGTTGTCTGCGTGCACACTCTCACTTTATTTACAGCAGCTTGTTTTTTGTGCGCACGCCTTCTTTGACTACATTTTGTTTCAAATTGATCATCTTTGAGTCCTGCTCCTCCCGCTCTATCCTTTCTATTCCTCACTTATTTTCTGCTGTTTTCCACAAAGTTTGTCATTCCTTCCTTTTTGCTCCTGCGTGTGTGTGTTTGTGTAATAATCACTAGACCTCCCAGAGGAAATCAGCAGTGGTCCTTAGACTCCCCTGACCCCCTCGTGCCCCAACACACATGTCCCTGAGGGGCGTTTCCCATGTCCTCTGAGCCTCTGTGTGCATGTGGCTGCACCATCTGTCCCTGTGCTTGGTGGCGTTGGAGTGGGCATGCTGGATTACCCACTAGAGATCTGCACACACACCCGCACTCACCAGAAGAAGCCCTGAGGATGGGGCATAAAAAGATGACTAATAAACATAAGCGATGAACTCCAAGAGACAAATAGCAGAGAATGAAAATTCATTCCCACCTCTCTTTGCACAGGGCCACACTGGCTGGCAAGTGATTAATTGAGGGTTTACTGCTCACCATAAATTGTTCTCCTCCTCTACGGCTCCCCCGAGGGCCAGCCACTTTTTACAGCTCAAGGCCCAGGCGAGAGACGCGCCGCACGCGCACACACAAGGCTGGCTAAATAAAAGACTGTTTAGAGTAACAAGAGGAGGGCTGCAAGTGTGGCTGGGGGGGAGAAACAGTCAAGCTTTGTTACTCGGTTTTAGCTGGAAGATTAGTGATTCTTGTGGCTTTGCACACCTCATACATTCATTCATAGCTGCAGCTTGAGCATGCACACAGGCTTGCTCTCACACTCGCATGCATGCATTCCGATGTAACATCGCATCCCGTGCGTGCACACTCCCACCGGCCACCTCTGAGCTGGAGGTTAAAAGGCCTTGCTGTCAATCACTGCGGCTGCTGACATCAGCGAACATGGCACAGCAGAGTCTGCTCTTTAAAAGCAGCGAGCAGGAGGGAGTGTCAGAGGGGCAAGAGGTAGATCGGGAATGAAGGAGCCCTCTAACTGGGTTAAGAAAGTGCACACTGCCCCTCTCCACTCTGCACTGGGAGGGGAAGGACCCTTTTAGTGGGGTACAAATTGTCAATGGGGCAGAAATGAAGTGTTTGAAGGAAGCTCAGGTCCAAGCCAGTGTCAGTGCTGGGCCTGCAGATTAGCTTTTCATTAACTGCAGCACTTTACATACTGTATTAACCCACAGTGTGGAGACGGAATAAGGCACATTCACTCTAACCTGCCACATCGTAACAGTGGTTCATTGTTTCATTAACCATTTAAAACTAAATGAAACACAACCACATTAACTCTGTTTGGTTAAAACTCATTTATTATTAAAATGTTGCTAAGGCTGCAGTCTCGGTGACAACATGGAGGTAAACCGTTTCATTTGTCCAGGTGTATCAACTCGAACCGAAGTGTTTCGTTTATTCATCCATTCATACGAGGACTCGAGTTTCCGTAACGCCTGTCTTGGCAATCGATCAAACAGCTTTCACTAAACACATGTGAACCTCATGGGGGTAAAAACTCAAGGATGCTCACACTGATGTGATAGAGAATTGGTTTTCTATGCATTTGTTCTCGGGAGACGGAATATTGATTTAAAATATCGTACATTTCATGTTGTTCTTTCGGTTTCCAATGTGACTTTGTTTTTGTTTTTGTAGCTTCAGCGTGTGAATTTGTTGAAATTGTGGATCTGCTGCTGAAATCTGGAGCTGACCCAACTATCACAGACCAGGAAGGTTGTCTTCCTGAGGAGGTCACTGATTCCCGTGCAATCTCCCTTCTCCTGCGTGGGTACACTACTTCGAAAGGCTGAATCGGCCTTGCATCCCACCACCCTGTTATTCCAATCTCCTAGTCTCCTCCCTGCTCCCCTCTTTTGCCCAGCCTTCCCATAATCCCTCATTCATCCCTGCAGAGACTTCTTTTCCCCTTTTCAGCCCTAACAGTCTGTAGACCTGGACTGCAGACAGGTTTTGTTTTCTATTTTGTCTTTTTTTTTGTTTTTTTTTCCTCTCCCCCACCCAAATTGTTGAGGTGACTTTGATTTCATTGGTTTAGCTCTTTTTGAGCTACGGTTGTAAACATTAGTCATTCAATTTAATACACAAGGGCACTGCATGTATTTTCAGTCTTCTATATACTGTATTGACTATCTGCACAGTAGGGTTGGGTGATATGACGGTTACTGTAAGACAGATTTATGAACTGATAAGGTATAGCTACGAGACTTTGACTGGAAATGGTGCAATTAAATGAGCTGGACAGCATATTGGCAATATATAAATGACATTGTGTGCATCTGTGTGTTAAAGCATCTGTATTTATCCGGCATCACCAGATCAAGCAAAAACAGACATCCCCATTCACTTATCTATAAACGCTATAAGATATCACAATATTTATCATCATCACGACATGGTGTAACATCCAAATCCATCAGAGAATCCCATACATATCACCCACTCCTACTGCAACCAGCCAGGCCTTTTAATCAGTTTAGTCTGTTCTAGTGGTTTGTTCATGATTCTGTTAGGTACCAAGGAATGCTTTCCACGTGTTTCATTAAAGTGTTCTGCAAATCTGCGTCCTTGACTTCCTGTTATCTGTTCAAAAAGAAGCATAAGCACTGTTCTAGAGTTCCCCGTGTGAGCGATGTAACCCGATTCCACTTGGGCGTCTTTCTCCACGTACATGTTTACATAAATGTGTGAGGCCGTGGACCAATGAGCTTGTGCAATGGTGATGCGTCTGCCTGCGCCTGCTTACATGTGTCGGAGCTTTCGGATTTTAGTGAAACCTGCACATGATGATCACCTGATCCAGATTGTTCTCACGGTCATGTTTGTAGTTTTACGCTCCTAGATTCATATTTTTGGATAAATCTATTTTTTGTGAGCATTGATTTCAAAGTCTGTAAATGCATCATTGATGATCTGCTTGAATCCAAGGAGGGCGCATTGCTATGGCCAGTGTTGGGGAGTAATGGAATACATGTACCTGCGTTACATATTTAAAATACAAAATATGAGTAACTGTCTTCCATTAGTTACCGTTTAAGAAGGTGATATTCAGAATATGCTCTGTCTATTTTTAGTAATTCCACTCCGGTGGAAACCCAAACAAAACGCGCATTAAGAGGCTCTAATGTCTGTGTCTCAATCTCGCAGCCGCATAATGACGTGAAGAAATATTTTTAAAATTATTATTCAAAAAATGATTTAATATGAAGGCAACAGGCAGAGTGTTGCAGGCATCGCCCTAAAGCATGTAGCCTGATGGGTGGTGTAGTCCGTGATGTGTCTGTGAGCGAGGGAGGAGAAAAGGAAAAGTAGGAGCTGTCACGGAGCAGAAACGGGAGCTGGAAGCATGTAAATATAATAATAACCACTGCAGCCAAACAGAGAGCCTGACGAGCCCAGCTGTGAGTAAGCTGTTAAGACTCGACTGTACGCTGTGTTCGTGTTTTCCTCTGAAACAATAAGTTCTGTTGCAGCAGCCTTCAACGCCTCTCTCTGTCTCTCACTAGCAAAGTCGACCCAGACAACAAAGTAAAGCTAGTTTTCAGCTACGAGCCCGACACGAACCCGATGTATCAGCCAGAGGTCCCTTTACTACGGTTCGGAGCCGCGGACCTGTTTTATATACGCGCGGAATAGTTTTCTACACGAGATCGCTGCAAAAAGTGCAGCCTTACCTAATGTCCACCTACTGTTACTCATTTATATTAAGATTTAAACATCTAGTTGTGTTGGTGTGGAGAGTAACCTTCAGTAATAGTAATAAATCACACAGCAGTAGTTCATTCATGTAGTTGTAAGAAGCATGATAATATGTTAAGTAATCCAAAGTATTCAGAATACGTTACAAAATACATTTTGGGACATGTAATCTGTAGTGGAATACATTTTAAAAGTAACCTTCCCAACACTGGCTATGATTAAGTGCACGTGCAGTTGCACATACAAAACACCTGATCGTTAACAGCAGCTACATCGTTTAAGGTAGAAGCAGGCCTCATTACAATAAACCTGATCAATAATCAAAACCAAATCTGGGGGGGGAAAGTTTTATATATTCATAATTACTAAGACGACATTTACTGGAGATTAAACTTCAACACATGCACAAAGTATTTGTTCTTTTCTAACCTCCAACAACATGTTCGGTTCCTTAGGTTTCGGTGGCCTGATGGACACAATTGTTTTAATTCAAACATTTAAGCCACGTCCCCACGTGACCAGCAGAGACTGTAGTCCACAGAGCACAAACACAACATATTGTATATAGAGAGCAGCCTGTGCATGATTATGTCATATAAGGAGGAATCTGGATGTTCTCCAAAAATAACCAACACATGGTCAGAGTCCAAATCAGCTTTACTGGTCCTCAGCTCTATGACACACACACACACACACACACAGTGCAGCAGATGAGAATGCACTAAATCTGGATCCTGCTTCTTAACTACAGATTCATGAAGACGTCGTGCACGTTTTGGGGACAAAGCTTAATCCTTTACTCTCAAACACACAGCTTTGCTTCCCCCACCCTCCTGCACTGTGTTGCACTGGAAATCTGCTCTAACACACAAGGCGTTAGATAACTGTCTCAACATGTCAGCCACTCGCAGATCTGTGACAGCTTTACATGGCCTGGTGAGGATCAGTAGTCATCGCGTAGGGGGGTAGCGGTTCAAATTCGATTTTTCGTCTTGACAGGTGTTGTTGTGCTGGCAGTAAATTCAGATGCAAGTGAGGTGTGCTGTACACGAGTTGAATTAAGATCCCTCCACGTGATTTCGAATCTGCATCCGTGTCTCGTTCAGCCCTGCTTTCACAAGTCTCAGCGGGGAAGAGGCCTCAGAGTTTTTATTTCATCTTCCACTTTTGTAGACTCCGGCCAAAGAAGCTTCCTCAATGAAATTGTGTCCATGTCAGCTCATGAATTTTGAGGAGGAACCCTGCATAAGCTAAGACGGCGCCTTTTGAGTATTCAACATGAGTCCGAGACATGATGCTCTACAATCCCACAAAGAGACAACCGCTGACCATCTCGTCGTTATGAATTCTGTCCACATCCAGCCATTAGGCTGTTGGTGTATCTCTAAAGCCTGTTTGGGTCTCGGTGTTGTCTCCCCGTTGCTTCCTAAACCCCGTTATACTTGCTTGAGGTAAGAGAGAATGACGGCAGTCGTGCTTCCCTCCCGGCTCGTCTGCGAGACTCTGACACTAAGCCCATTATGCTTCCATTATGGGGCTTCAATTTTCCTCTGAGCTTTTCACTTCTGACACGGCAGCTCCCTCCCTCCTCAAACCGCAGACTCATACCCCCCAAGGCCCAGTGCTGCACGGCCGTTCAGTTAGGAACTTCAGTACATTTTTAAAGTACCAGCCCTGATTCTTATTCAACGGCAGTTATTTAAAATTGCACTAAGATGCATAATATGACAACGTTACATGCAAGCAGGCGTCAACAACAAAACATACGAGACAAAGCTAACTTTGCACATTTATACTTCAGTAATGTTTTAGGGCAACTTTAATTTGACAGCAAAGTAATTAACACTTGTGAGATTCAGCGTCTTCCTCAAGAAGCTGACATGTGGCTGCAAAACTAGTGAGTACAATTAGCCACATAGCAACACATGTCATTTGTAAGATGTTATTAAAAAAGACACTAACACCACATACATGACAGCAGTGTAGCCTTGCATGTACCTGAGGTGAGGCCTAGCATACAGTTAGTGGCCGAGTTGGCACCCACCTGTCACGCCGGCCCAGACCCATCTTTAACTAATTTGGCGATCATGTGGAAAAATAAAATCCAAATGGATTCTCACAGGGAAAACAAAACGGTGCTATTCCTAACTGTGGGAAACTACTGCACAGTCTTCAGAGGCAGATTCTGGGGCGATTTTTTAGTTTCAGGGTGAGCCAGCGGGTATTTATAACAAGCATCATTGTCAGCATTACTGACACCTGCATGCAACCAAAGCCTCCTTAATCCCGACGATAAACAGAAACCCAAACTTCTTGTTCCTTGGCTGATAAGTGTACACAATTTATTTACTATTTATTTATTCGTCAGTACAGAAAAGCGTAGCTGGGATGTTGAGGAATTATAGCGTCATTCTGCACACTGCCTCTCCTTTACTTTCTCTCTCCTGTAAAAGCCATACCATGTTCCTGCTTTGGCCCGCTCTTAATGCAAGCCTTTACCTCGCCACAGCCCTTCCTCCATCTTTTCTTTATGCTGCAGCACGCCCCCCTCACCCACTCTCAGCAGCAGCGTGGTTAGGAACCCAGCAGTAAGCAAAAATCCCCCTGCTGCTGAAACACTCTCCACTAATACCAGATTGGTTTAGTGGTGGCTTGGACTGCGCTCGTGTGAGTTTGTGCAGGTTTGTGTGTCCTCCACTCTGATGCCTATGTGTAGTTTGCGTTGATGAAGAAGCGTTGCCACTAACTACCGAAACCAAAAAGTTGATGTTTAAGACTTAAGGCGGCAAACAGAGGCTTGGTTCTGTGTTACATTCGAGATTTTTCTTCAGTACAGCTACACATTGTCATCTACCTGATTTGGCTACCTGTAACCTATCGGATTTCTGTGGAGTGGAAAAGTCCCAGTTTCACATTAAAACAGCATTGAGCTCACAACCTTGAGGGTGTCATTGAGAGGCCTCCGTTTGACTCCAGCTCCTCTTTAAGACTCACTCCGTCATGCTGCGGATCATTGTTCACTGCAGGCTGGATGAAGTTGTTTGGGGAGAAAAATGTCCTGTCTCAACGCTGCAAGATTGACTTTCGGTCTGAAAACAAATCCTATCTATTTTGCATGTTAATTTATTCCCTTTTGCTTGAGAAGGGAAAAAAAACAGTTTCCTTGAGGAAGTTTGTAATAAAAGCCTTGCGATCGATGATAATGGCATTTGTGCTTGTGTTTGTCATCTTCGCAAAAGCAACAGTGGTGGAGTTTCCACAGATTTATTTGTATACTAGTGCTGTAAGTGGCGTGTAAATTATCCTAACTGTCTGTGTGGCTCTTTATCTTTGTAAGCCAGTACTATTAGACCCTATCCATTAATGCCCATAACCCAGCCAATCAATGCTTAAATAAAAATCAGCTCAATTTGTAGCATTTTATGCAAACGTGCAAACTCCAACCAGGCTGACTCTTTGCTTTTTGTTTTTATAATGCTACAGGAATAGCTAAAACACAAAGGAATCGATATCACTTACGTTTGGGTTGTGTTGGCCTGCTCTCAAACAAATGCTGCACGTTGCTGCATAGAAATGAGTTTCATACGGATGTACACTGTGCTGTAATTTCATTATAATTCTATACATGCTGCGCTTAGCCAACACCATAGTCACAGGGAGTAAATCCATTGTAACTCGTGAGCTTTTCTCAATGCAGCAGGAACTGCATGTGTGTGAGTGCCAGTTACAACTAACGACGCTGGGTTCACTGCACTGACACGGAGCCGACACGTGACTGTTTTGTGTTATTTCGTGGTAGCGTCTCAGGGGTGACGGCGCCGATCGTTCTGTCTGCTGTTTTGGTTGAAATGTGTTCAAAACGTGAATTTTAACAATTTTGAAATCAGTGTCTATGAAGCAGCTCCAGCGTTACTTTATGTTGTGCATGTCTTAGGATGCTTATGTGCTAAACTAAGAAGGCCTCTGTCACACCCTCACGTTTCCATTGCAGACTCCTGCTGGGACTCACTGTTATTTTCTGTTTTCACGTTAAGTACAGATGAAAATGTGCAGAGGAGGCCTTTTAGGTAATAATTACTGCAAGTAAAATTTAATTTAATAACTAAATCATTTTTTGTAGTATTACGGTCATCTTATTTTTTTACTGGCCTCTCAGCAAATTGTTTATTTACCAGCTCGACATGTGCGAGCACGCTGCCTGCATATGGATCATGTTCCCGCTTTGCCTGACTACAAAGCACATTTGCCTATATTTCACAATTAGTTAGCAGCTCAGGGATTAAGGGTAGATTTGACACTGCAGTGCTGCAATCTGCTGTTGTGTCTCTTTAGCACTGAGAGGATCAGAGAAATAGCCAGCGAGCATCTGTTTCTGCACTTGTTTTATTTCTCTCTCCGGCTTTCTTTCCTTAATCTCTCTTCATGCATCTTTCTTGTCACCCCCCCGCAGAGCGAGAGCGGAAAGCAGTATCAATCACTGTTAACTGACTGACCACTGTCTGTTGGTGGTACTAAATGGATCCCCACAATTGAATAGAGGCCTAAGTGTGTGGTAAATGCTCTCAATGGGTAAATGAATTTGCGGGTTAACTCGCTCTAAGAGCGTTTCAATAAGGCAAAATAATAAAAACACCTACAGCACATATTTTTCTTTTGATATATTAAAAACAAAGTCCAGCTGAAAATCTTAAGTCTCGCATTCATCACCGCAGGCCCGGAGTACGAAAAGAAAGCAGCCGAGCGTAACCCAAACACAATCCAGCTTTATTTTCCTCATATAGATTTGACTGTACACAGTTCAGACCATTACACAGAAGGCATAAATGAATAAATTCAGTGCTCTCTTTTACATCTTTTTCAAAGACACATGGCAATAATAAATAGCGCTCATGAAACAAGACGATCAACACGTTTTCAACCTGTACAAAATTTACAGCAATTGAGATGCAAAGTTTGGAGGCAACACAGACTGAATGAAACTGTCCTGGTAATATGTTTGTTATTTCATTTAACTGTGAAACTTCGATAGAAGCTCAAACATTACGCTGTAATTACGGTGCACTCATCCTGGGGGTAACAGATGTTTACTCATGGTTGATGTGGGTTATAGACTGCATCCCTTTTTTAACTGTCACATAATGAACAATTGTAATGTTTTACAGTAGCTCAGTAATTTAAAACGAATGTTTTGATCTCGAGTACACTATTCTTCTTTCAAAACTTTGTCCACGTTGCTTCCAACTGTCATTTCTAAGTGATAAATGAAATAATCAAATATGAGATCTTCCTAAATTTGTTTTTTCTGTAATACATTTATTCTTTGTTGTATTGGAATTTAACTAACTGTAATACATCTAAATGTTACCCCCGTGTTACACTTTATATAGTTTTAATTTTATCAACCAAATAATTACGCTGTAATTTTAGAGCTGTAATCTCGAGTTTCTCTGAATAGTGTCATCTTGTATTTCTTTATTTGCTTCCTGGTATTGAAAACACTCGTTTTTTTCCCTCTTTCCCTTGTTTTTTTTTTTAACAAAAGAAGTACCCACATGAATAAGACTTTGTTTCTCTTTTGAAGCAGAGATCAAATCTGAATGATGGTTCCTGCATGCTCAGCAGGTCAAGAATCAGAAACACCGAATCGTTCCACTGTTTCAGTTGTTGTGGGTCTTTAAAGATGCAGCTGTGGGAAATGCATCGGCCCGGCAGTCGTGCCAGCACTGACGCTAAAGCATCAGCCCTGAATGTGGGGGACTATCGGTAATCCCTCTGACATGCAGGCCAGGCAGTGGGAGAACAGGCTGACGACACATCTGGGGTCAGTGAGTAGGTTGATAGCAGGCAAAGCTGCACTGAGTAGATTACCAAGAGGCGCCTGGATCAGACCGAAGAAACTCAAGAGAGTTTTTATCTGTGTTCCTGCTTGTTAGCATTTTAAGTGTCAAATTTATGTTTGCTTTCAACGTCTGCAAAAGAATCTGCATGTGCATACAAATGGATAAGATGCAGTTAGAACTGAATATTTCCAAACCGTATACATGTCTTGACTTTGCCTTAAACATATAAGCTTTTTATTCCTGGCGAGTCTGTGTCTGAGATAATTTAATACTGACGGACGTCTGCTTCCAGACCAGCTTTTACACAGATGACAACAAGTCAAGCACCTATAAATATAGAAGAGAGATCTGCTTTGTAGCAAACAGTGATCGCCCTCATTCAAAGAGGGGAGACATAAACTTCTAGTGAACAGACGGACGGACAGAGGAAAGGACGGGCAGACCAACAGTCATCTATTTCCTAATAAGTTTGAGCACTATGTTAAAAACAAAAAAAGCATCAGCGTGGTTCAAAATTAACACTTGTGCCGCTCTTTTTTTGTAAATTTCTCTCCCAATGAAACACTGTTTGTTGCCTTGTGCATACGTCTCTCCTCCTTTTCTCTGTCCACACGTGTAGAGAGACGAGGAGAGTAAAGTGCATCGCCAATGTAAAGGCTTGGATGTGGCTGTACGGCAGGCCTGCTCAGTATGAATGAGAAGCATGCAGGTGACTCCTGGGTTTCGTAGGGACTTTGATCTGGATTGTGTCGCCCTAATGTTGTGTGGTTTATTTCAAGGGATGAGACGTTTCTCCCCTGTGAGCATTACTCCACCGATATATTTGAGATCCGGTCTCACTTTCAGAGAGTGAACGAACAAAAAAAAGTGTAAAAAATGATCGTATGATGCAGAGTTGACTCATTCTGTGTGGAGGCGTTCTCGCTGCTTCTGCTCAGACTACATATCTCGATGGCTACCTCACCAACTACGACTGCTGCGGGACTCTCCCTTCTCCTTCGCCCAACATCGCACCCGAAACATACCGGCAGTGGACCGTGGAGAGCGATAGAAAGAAATGTAAAAAGCCTTCTGAGTCCACTTTGATGTTTCCCCACAGTACTTTTTTTTTTACCATGTCTGAGACTCAAAACTGGGAATGGTCCATCTCGTCCAGCCATGAGGCGGGGCTGGTGGGGAAGTCAGGGTATCCCGTACTGCTCCCTGTGGAGAGGTCTGAGGTCGGGCCTCCTGCCATGGCCCTCAGAGCCTGTCCCACACCACCCGGCCCCCCCTGTGCCACCAGGCTGTCCATGTTGAAGCTCAGGTTGTTGAGGAGAGGAGTGTGGCCGGGCAGAGAGGCGATGGAGGAGGGCGACTGGGGGAGACCATAAGGGCTTCCCGCTCGGATGTCGTGGTAGGGCTGTCCCGCCGCGTCGACGGAGAAGCCGCCGTTCAGCGTGTTGGTCACATCGCCGACGCTCCCGTAAAGCCCGTTGGCGTGGCCGAGATCTGACAGGACCTGGTCGTCTGCAGAGGAGAAACCGTCACTTAGCACGAGGAGTGTAAAAACTTTGAGACATCAACAGCGGCGTCACCTGTGCGAGCATTATACAGTTGTTATATTTCAATACAGTTAAGTGCTTTTACGAGTCAGATTTATTGTGGCAGATTTCATGGAGGTACAGTAAATGGACGAGCCACTGAAGTCTTTGAAACGCTTTTCGGTTCTCTTAGCGAGAAAGTGAGAAAGGATGCTCTTTCTGCTTCATCTCTAACCGAGCAATTACTGCAGCACAAAATATTTGTTTCCATCTCGTCCCTCCCCTGGGTGGCTTCAATAACAACAACGCCCCAGAGCGCTTTCTCTCTAATTGACTAAAAGCCTCACATGCTTTATAGAGTTTCTGTCACCATGTTTTCATTTCTCATAAAAATAGCCTTCTTTGGCTTGAGGACTTTTATGACTACCAAAAACGGGGTGTGCAAACATTAAATAACATGGCATGTCTAAAACGCCGTTTGCATCCCACTAAGGACCCTCTCTCTTTTCCAATAAGCTCCATCATGGTGACAAACAGAGGCAGGAGGATGCGTCAGCAGCCACAGGGATGTGTGACGGGAATGTGAAATGAGAATGCCATTTTGGATTTGCCCGACTGCGACGCCACGCGTTGATGAATGCTAGAAAACAAATGAAACGCCACAAAGACACTTCCAATTGCCGCGGCGCTCGTGTCATTTAGCAGCTTCTAGGCTCCCTCGATCCCATTAGCACGGCAGCATGACGGACAATTCCCTTCAGGGATCTCACTTTTAAGCAATAAAAGCTGCATACCTCTGAAGCTCAGCTCGCTGTCGCTGAGTCCTGCGTCGTCAGCTGAGCTCTCCTTCTCCACTTTAGTTCCTCCTCGGCTGCGTTTGACACTTTTATAAAACTGAGTCCAGCGATGCCGCCCTGCGTCTTTCTTCAGACGCTTTTCCTTCGCTCGCCGGTTCTGAAACCAAACCTGTGGAACATTTTATTTATCGTTAAGTGCAAATGAAATTATGAAACACTCTCTGAAACATTATCTCCAACTAATAATAAATGACAACAGGAACGATACGTTCTTAGTCTGACTTCAGCCTCGGCCTTTGTTTGACGCAATATAGCGTCACTCTTTATAAATGTGTTTATTTGCAACCTGAGCTTTTAAATTCACAAATAAACTCATCAAATTTTAATTATCTCACAACAGTCGATACCAGAAATTTTAGGTAGGAAAACAAACGCATGACACTAAAGTGAATATGTGAAAAAAATGTAAGCTTTGCACGTGGATTCTCAATAAGGTCTGATCTTTTTAGCTCTGAAACACTCTAAAATACTAAATATGCTCATTTAAATTTAAAATTCAAGTAAAATGCATGTGAATTATGTTGTTTCCAAATATGTATTTGCTTTTTAACATTTGTATCAGCACTTGAGAGGCCGGGATTCAGCGATTCCAAAGTAACTTGCTTCATTACAAAAACTCGATCCCAGTGAGTCAGCTTTCTCAGGGACCTGCAGGATATAGCCAAAATACTCTACCTGCACCACTCTCATGTCTAACCCCGTCTCCGATGACAGCTGCTCTCTGACGTGGCGTGCAGGCTTCGGCGAGTTTTTGTAGGCACTTTTGAGGGTCTCCAGCTGTTTGGCGGTGATGGTGGTCCTTGGTCTCTTGGTCCCTGCCTCTGAATCATCTGAAAACACCACACACACGAGCGTGAGTGACTTCTTCCTAGATTTGTCATGTTGCCTCAGCAGGCACTGCCCTCAGGCCTTCACAATGAGCGTGTCTGTGCTCAGTGAAGTGAATGGTCATGTATAGAAGTGTATTATTGTCCTTGTGCATCTGTCCCACTCCCACAGCAGAGGACATAAATCTATTCACTGCCGGAGGAATGGAGTGATTGGAACAGCACCATATAAGAGCATTGCTTCACTTTGCATAATCAATCAGAGATGCATGGACATCTGAGGAGAGAGGGAGGGAGAGAAGCAGCACACACCCACAAACAAACAACACGGATCCACCGGCAGGAGTCGTATTACCGCTTTGCAGCGTGAATACAACTTTATCCATGATTCATAGTGTTGTGATTCTGGTGTAGTTAAGTGAAGTCATCAGCACTAAACCAGGTGGATAAAAACTGCTAAGAGTTATTGAAACATCTCTTTTTTCATATTTTCAGTAAACGCTCGTTGTAGCCTAACATCGAATGCTCCTGCACACCTACCATTTTGTTTGGCGGCCTCGTAATCCACCTTGCACACCAGCCTCCCGTCTTCCATGAGGTAAAACTCGTCCCCGGTGGCCAGCTGTCTGCTGCACATGATGCAGGCGAAGCAGTGCAGGTGATAAACAAAGTCCTGCGCCTTCCGCACAACCTGTGTCGGCGGGATGCCCTGCTGACACGATGCACATTTTGTACCAAAACGTCTGCAGGAAAACATGAAGGAGAGAGAGAGAGACGCCATTAAAAAAATTTGTAAAACGCCGGCAGGGTGGACTGATGGAAAGAGTGCGAGCAGCTGAGATTAAAATTTCACACACTACATGACTATTTCTTCATCTGCAGCCAAGAATGATGGCACAGTGTCTGTATTAATAGGAACTCCAGCTGCTGAGGAGGGAAAAACCATCCCTGGAATGTGTTTCTGTTAACGGTAGATCTGCCAGCAGACTGATAGATGGACTGGATCAGTGCACTGTGTGGGTTTGAGTGTGCATCTGCATGTTTGCATGTTTATGTGATTGCAGATGAACTACTGACAGCTCTAGATGAGGAGGAGGAAGAGTAAAAAGAGAACAAGAAGAGGAAGAGGAGGAGAAGGAGGAGGAGGGGTCCTCACAGTAAAGACACCCTGAGGAGAACCAATAAAACACTGACTCAGGAGAGGCTTTAAATCACAGCACAGACACACAAAAATAAAAAGAGCAAAGTGAGGCCTCCAAATCACCTCTGGGAAGCAAACACCAGCAAAGCTATGTGTATGTATTATTTAGTATGTGTGTCTGTGTGTGTTTGAACATGCTACAGCCCCCACCAGCACTGCCCCCTGGGTCACCTAACACAGTTAGCTCCCAGTGAGACTCCGGAGCTCTTTAGGTCTCTTTCTAGCTTTGAGCATTAAAACCTTTCAAACATGATTTAGTAAAAAGCCCCAATATGCCGATCGTGTTATGGATAAAAGTCAAACTCAATTTTCTCCTGCAATGCCTCAAACATCCAATTGTTGAAAGAATAAATGGCAACTAGACTGTGAAATAAAGGGATTTTTAATCTTGCCTACAGTGTGACAGAGCTGCCACTACACTGGGAATCAGGCAAACTGTGCACATTATGAGGGCAACCAGCATCACACATGTTCAGTCACAACAAAGAGGAAAACCATCAACCCAAGCAAACACACCTGCAAGCTGTGTTTCTGTTGTTCTTCATAAATTAGGGGAAAGTGGTGAATGTGTATTATTAAATAATTAAAGGTAAAAAGACAAAGGTTAGCCTAATACACATGTATGACACGATGTTATATTGCTAGCATTTTAACCGTGTTAGCAAACGGAAACCAGTCGGTTGCAATACTAGATACACCGGAACTATTACAGGTCACAGTCGGATTTTTGTCAAGGAAAATTGTAATATTTGTTAGTGCTGCCCTGGAGAAAGGCTGGGCCAGTGCTCACTCTGCAGGAAACAATCCACGCGGATGGTAAGGGGAGAAAGCAACGGAAGAAGCGCACTTACTTGAAGAAATCCTCCTTGCAGTAGACGCTTCCTGCCCGGGAGAAACATTTGTCCGCCAGCGGTGTCTGGCAGTCGGCGCACTTGAGGCACTTGGAGTGCCAGTGTCTGTCCAGCACCTTCAGGATGAACTTGTCCAGGATGTGCTGACTACAGCCTGCACACTGAGGGATCTCTGTGACGGAAACAAGCGCAGTCCCGCGTAGTTAACAGAGAAGCAAAGAGGCAAAGAGAAATAAGCGCTTTACGCGAGCGAAATTCATTTAGTTTTACCTTTACAAAAACAACAACAAAAAATGAAATTACATTCATGGTGACGGAGAATTGTTTCGCACATTAAAGCAGGTCTTCGGGGTTTCCCCTAAATCTGCAAGCCTGTAGTTTAGTTTTAAAACCCGAATCAGACAATAAACTCGGGTTTCACTCATATTTCCGTGTAGATATGATAACAATGAAATCTGGAGATTATGTGCATGGGTGTGTATTTTCTAAAGGCCCGTCACTGTAACAAACACCGTGACATGGTATCATATCGGTTTCATTTTTTTAAAAATGTTATTTATTTTGCTTCTGTTTATATATTTATTTTATTTTATTACGACTTATTTTGCTGTTGCTATCACAGCTAAACAGGACAAAAATATATAAATTTCGCGTATTTGTATTGTCCGTCTCTGTCCAAGGTGCTGAACTCGGAGCTGTTCGCTTGTAGGGCGAAAATAATTTTCTGACGAAATATTGATTTTTGTTTCTCTTAATTTCGTTAGCCAGATCTAGTTTGACCCTAATTAATCTCCTAATGATTTTATGGGAAGCATGGTGGCAACCAGTGTTAGAAGGTGAGGCGGTTTCTGGATGTAAATCAGGGTCAAGGGGAGATTAAATTTAATTTTTGTGAATGTAAAAAAAAGAAAGGGAAAAAAGGTGTCTTGGCACACCACACGTGCTCATTCAGAGGCAGATATTAGCAATTAAATTTGGCATCGATGATAAACTACAGGTAAGCTGCACATTTCAAGACGTCTTAAAAAGCGAAATAAAATCAAAACATAATTTCTTTCAAAACAAAAACCGATTTTCTGTCGAAGTAGCACATTTATAGAGATCAAACAGCATATTTTTTATATTTTAATATTTGTATTTGTAGCATTTTTATTATTACAGTAACTCCTACTCCTTCTATTAAATTAAAGATTGTAAAAGTCCACCTGCAATGCTCCATAAACTAACATCACGTCAGCATTTGTCTTTAAAGACCTTTAGACTGTTTTTATTCTCGGCCTGTCTTTGTCACACATCTGCATGATGCTACACGACGAGAAAAAACTGTAAAAAAAAACAAAAAAAAAAACATACTGAGAAAAAACAAGTGACCGGGGCCGGTGACCATGAAGCTAAGCCACCCACATATCACAACCTTTTTGCTGTGGAGAGAAAACATATCGGCCGTGAAATCATCTTACAATAACCGTGTAAAGCGCCGGGTGCCTCATGCGTAATCCCCACACACAATACTGCGTGCAAAACCAAGCTCACTGACTCTGCACCGTGGAGGCGCGGACACGCACATTTTAGAGGGGTTTTTATGTACTACTCTTAGTACCTTTGGCATTTCTGTCATTTTAATTTTAATTTCAAGGAGGTGAAATAACTGTAACTCAGTGAAAATGAGCTTTTAAAAAAAATCATTTTATTTTCAGTATTCATTCGTTTATTTTGCGAAGAGTAAGAACAGATAACCTCATCGAAATATTCGGTCCTTATTACAGAAGCTTAAATAACCCAGTGCGCACACTGTTACACACAGAGGAACATTCCGGCACAGACACAGCTTGGACTGGCTTTGTGTCTCCTCGGCGAGGTAATTCTCATAGAAAGGGTAGAAGAAGGCAGTGAAATTATTATGAAAGGGTGGCCTGTGTCTCGGACTTTAAAATGGGAAAGCATTTTAAATATCCAGAGATAAGTGGTGGGTGGGTGAAGCCGAGCGGGATGGCTTTGGAGAGAGAAGTGGTGCTGAAAGGAAAGCAGCACGATTCTTGGCAACGACAGGGCGTTCGCCATCCAGCTTCAGTGTGTGTGTGTGTGTGTGTGTGTGTGTGTGTGTGTGTGTGTGTGTG